GATCTGGATGGTTCTTGTTTTTCTAGGATCTTGAGTTGCATCATTAGATTCTTTTTTGGACTTCCTCCATTTTTCTGATGTGAGTATTCACAGCTATTAACTTGCCTCTTAGGACTGCTTTTATTATGTCCCAAAGGTTCTGATGTTGTACTGGCATTATTATCAGATTCTAGTAACTGTCTAATCTCTTCCTTGATTTCTTCTGTGATCCATTCATTATTCAAGAGGGTATTGTTTAATTTCCATGTGTTTGTGTAACTTCTGTGGTTTCTTTAGCCATTTATTTCTAGTCTAATTGCACTATAGTCCGATAGTATGCGTGTGGTACTTCAATTCTTTTGCATTTACTTAAGTAAATACAGTCTATTTTGGAGAAAATCCCATGTGTGGCTGAGAAGAATGTGTGTTCTGTTGTTGTTGGGGGGAACAGTGTAGCTATCTATTAAGCCCAGTATTCAAAGGTTTGGTGCAACTCTGATGTTTCTTTGATTTTTTTGCCTAGCTGATCTGTCTATCTGTGACAGTGGAGTATTGAGGTGCCCCATCATAATTGTGTCAATGTATATCTGATCTTTTCAGTCCAGTACTGTGTGTGTTTTATGAACCTGGGCACACCAGTGTTTGGTAATATACGTTCATCATTGTTATCTCTTCCTGTTGAATTGTCCCCTTAGCCTCTTCTGATCAGTTTTGGCTTGAAACCCCATTCCTGTTACATGGAATGTTGTTTTCCAACTTTTGATTGTAGATTTCCTTTTGGATTAAATATATGTCTTGTATACAGCATATCACTGGGTGATTTTTGTTGATCCATTCTGCCAATCGGTGTCTTTTTACTGGGGAACTGAGACTATTCACATTGAGAGTTATTACTGGAAATATATTGACTTATTCCTGTCATGGCCTTGTGTTCCTGTTGCTGATTTCCTTTTTACCCCTATTTTCCTACCTGGTGTATTAATTCTATTAGACTTTTTGCCTTCGTTGACTTCATTGTCTCTTTTTAGAGCAGTGCTAGTTGCTTATTTCTGTTATTCTCTTTCCCTGTGTACAAACTTCTGGAGCCTTAGATTTTTTTCCTTTCAGCAATAAGAGGCTCTCAAGTCCTTACAAAAATGAGAGCTTACATATAAAAGCATCAAAGATGATAGATGTTGGCTCCTTCTAACCAAAAATGGAAAGAAGTGTTGAGAGCTACCCTATATGATCTTTAGCAGCATCATTAAGTACTCCTCAGGTCAACATTGCTGGCTCAGATGGAACTAAAATTTGCTCACCGGGGAGACACATACGAGAATGCACATATGCCGTCTCTCAAGCAAAGTCTCTTATGGAACTGCCGTGAGAAACCGACAAAAATTCAATATTACATATAGACATGGCCCTAAAACATCATGGAGAAGATTAGCCTTTGAGGGGACTCCTAAGAGAGCATTGCCATTAAATCACACACATCTTTGGGTCCTATATAAAGAGACCCTCCAAACTGCTTTTTAAATATCCCCTCTCAAAACTGAAGGACAAAAAAATCCTCCCAAAACTGAAGGACATAAGTTCATTCCGTCTGATGCCCTGGCTTCTCTTTTTGGGTGTCTGGAAACATTTTCTAAGCCACGCAGATTCAAGTGGTCATTCAAGTGATAACTTTTGTTATCGTCAGGATTTGATAAAGTCTATTGGCTCAAACTGAGAAGGAACCCACTGCGTTCCTTGTTTTCTTCCCCCTCACAACAAAACCCAGTTGTCTTCTTGTCCTCCTCTCCTACTCTAAGGCTTTCATCTGTTGTAAATCTCAAATCTTTTAGCATTTTCTGATATTAGTTACCGGGGAGGCACAGAGCTAGAGGTTGGAAAGGGGTTGGTGGGAGTGGTGAAGTTTAGAAAGTCTTCACATGGCTCTGGGTCTAATTGGTATGCTGCTCCTTGTGGGGAAAGAAGGGACCCCCCCCCACTATATGGAAGGAGGGGCAGGGTGTGGCCCTGTATTATTTTGCTTGTAGCAGAGGCCCATAGGCCATGTAACAGGAATCTGGGAAAAAGCAGGAGTACCTATCCTAATTTCAGACAAGTAGATTCCAAGTCAAAACTGATCAGAGATGGGCTGGGGATTTAGCTCAGTGGTTCCAGCACCAGCCTTGTAAGCACAAGGTCCCGAGTTCTATCCCTGGTCCCAAAACCCAGAAACAAAAACAGATCAGAGAGGCAAAGAAGTCCCATATTAGTTCCATTTCAGCCCTTCTGAGCTATTTGCCATGAACTTCTTGGGCCTTAAGGATGCCTTTCTAGTCGTGCCTATAGGTATTTTTTTTTTCTCCAGCCTCACATGGTCATGTCTGTAATGCTAGCTTGATTCCTCCTTCCACTTTATTTGGTTCTGCTATTCTTATGATAATTTTGGCCTCAAGTTTATCTTCCTATTTAAAATGGTATGTTGGGCCAGGGATTTAGCTCAGCGGCACCATGCCTGCCTGGCAAGCACAAGGTCGTGAGTTTGATTCCTAGTATCGGAAAAATAAAAATGATATGTGATTTGTAGTTACTAAATGACATCTCCAGGTTTTTTAAACCCCCTGAATTCCTTGTATATGTCACAATTCCCTAGATATAAAGATATTGGGGGTAAATTTTTGAATGAAGCTCAGCTTTATTCACCTTCTTTTTCTGCTTTACATCTTCTTTTTCTGACTTCCTGATCTGTTGATGAAGGATGGAGTAGCTATGTGCCAGGAACAGTGAGGCTTGTTTTGGACAGGAGCAACAGATTTCTGCAAGACTAATAGGGATGCGTGGACTAGTCATGAAAGAGAACAGGGCAGACCTGCCCCCTCATGAGCAGTTCCAACCCTAGGGTAACAGGGCAGAGCTACCAATCTCATGTGGCTCTGACCCTGGGGTAACAAGGCAGGCTTTGACTTAGGAAGTCTGACCCTGGCATATCAGGGCAGAACTGCCCATCATAGATGGCTCTGACCCTGGGGTAAAATAGCAGAAGTGTTCCCTGGTCAGTTCTAGCTTTGGAAAACAGAGCAAGCTTTCACTTAGGAAATTGGACAGTAGGATCCTGTCTTTTGTCTTTTTTTCCCCATTTTCTCTTTATGTCTTTCCAAAAGGGAGACACGAAGGAGATCTTAAACGCATAGTGCATTTTAAATGACTATGGTTAACTCAAAGTCTGTCCCCAAAAAGTCACCTTTAGATTATATTTTCAAAGCTTATAACCAATTTAAGATGGAGGATTTTAAAGGGTTGATTTCTCTCTGTATTTCTCTAATGTAAGTTAAGACGTACAAAGATCTGATCCTGACAATCTAAAATGGAAGAGCCTATCTACTATTGCAACATGGTTTGGGTTCGTACAAGATGGCAGTTTAAACTATGAGACTATTTTTCAGTTAAATCATTTCTGCTTAAAATAGAAGGTGGAATGAAATCCCTGATGTTTAGGCTATTGAGATCCTTTATCTCAGGAAAAGCCCACAAACTATGGTATTTACAGCAACCCGCAAGGAAGAGAGATATCTTTGATGATCCTATCCCTGGATCCACACTTGTCTCTCGGGGGTATATCGGTCTTTCCCATTTGATTAATGAAGAAACTTCAGATGGGACTCCAGGCACCTATCACCCAATTGCTGGGCATGACCTTTTCTACATTCAACAATCAGGATCTGGAAGAGAGTCAAAAGAGAAAGGCTAAGATTATAGCTGTTAGAATTGGCAGTGGCTTAAACTCATCCAGCTCATCTAAGGGAAAAGCCAGGGAAGATCAAGGACAAGAAGTCTGGACGCTGGACATGCTACTACACCAACATATTGCCTGGGCCTTGTTCCAAGTGCGCGGCAGGCAGTGTGCCTGACTCATGGCCCTGGAGAGTTGACTCTTCCTGCTCCCAGATGGGAAGTAGGCCAACCAAAACCCTCGTTTCCTGCTTTGAAAAGGCCCAAGAGAACCTACAATGCCCCGTCCACAGATGTTATCATCTCTTATGAGGAACCCTGGGTAACACTTGGCATCATGGGTATTATGGCTTGTGTTTAGATGCCCCCCCAAGCCTTACGTGAATAAGGTGGGGCTTATTTAGGAGGTGGCTTAATCTAGAGTATATGATGCTGGGATTAAGGGTATGTGATTACTAAACCACTGCATGTGAGTGATTGGTTTGGTACTGCCCTAGTCCTTTATCTTTATAAGAAAAAAGGACCAGAAAGACACTGTTAAGGTCTCTTGTTTCTTTTGCTGTTGTCCAGCCCCATGAACTATTGGCCCTCTGCTACCCTGCCTTGGAACCAGCCGATTATGGACTAAAACCTCTATGAACTGTAAACCAAATAAACCCCTTTCTCTCTACCTTTGGGTGTTGGGTATTTTGCCTCAACGATGACAGGAAAGTAACTAACACAATGCGTGAGCCAATTCCATTACTTCATTCTGTTTTGACTTCCTTCTCTAGAAAACCCTTCTCTAGATGGATAGCCATAGTTGGTTTTTTTCTTGATTGTGTTTTCATGACTGTGAACACTATTTTTAGATTTTTTAGGATATAAAATTTATTTAAATTACAGCTACAAACCTCAAAAAAATACATAAAAACTAGTGCACAGCTTTATAAAATAAGGAAAATAAACCACAATGCTCACAGTCATTGTTCACCTCAGTAGTTCTAATTCCCGGCATGTAATAATTATTTGTTGTTCTTGAATAAGTACTGAAATTAGAAATCAATTCATCTATTTCCTACTTTGTTGTAATGAGATCATATAACTTTCATAGTGAAAAAAATGTAAGTTTAAAAAATAAGACTGATTTCACACACAGAAAAAAAACATGGGGGAAGAGGCTTTGACATTGCTCTTAGAAAAACATCAAATATTAAATCAATAACAAATCATGGTTACAAACAGGAAAACCATGCCATTTGAACTAACGGAATTTGAAGTTCTTATCAAAAGTGGAATTTTTTGATGCAGAATAATGATAAGGCTTATCTGTAACATTTTACCCTTTCTCATGACTCTGAAACATGTAAATGGCTGGGGCATTAACTGTTTCTTCACCTTCACCTTCTGAGTTTTATCCATAAGGTCTTTTCATGTTTGACCTTTCTGTACAACAACAGACAGTTTCTTCTCTTGTTCAGTCCTCTGTGCCAGGCAGTTACAGTGCATTTTTCTTTCCTTAGCGATCCACTTCCGTCGAGTCTGATGGGTAACTCCTTTCACTTTTTCCTCCTGCAAGGTCTCTATCCTGGGTCTGTAAAAGACTCTGTCAACTAGTTCTGGGGCTGTTTGCAGGTGAGTGGAGACATCAAACTGTTCAACTTCTTTTTTGGTGTCAAAAAAGAATACATGTTTCTTCTGTTGCTTCCCCTGGAAATCCAGCAGATGGAGCTCTGATTTTAGACTTTCAAGTTTCTTAGCTTCTGCAGCCCTTTTCATTTCTATATATTTGACATCCTGAGTTCTCATTAGCTTTAGCTCTTCTGGAGTTACTTCTTCCTTAGTTTTCTTAATAACATGAACTTCATCCTGGAGCTTACCCCAAGTCATTTTATAGTAGAATTCATCTGGATTTTTTTCAAGTGCTTTCTTCTGAAGAGCTTTGAGGAATTCTTGCTTTTTATGATAGCCATCTGCACGAAATTTACAGTATTTCTTTTTCTCCAGCAGGCCCAGATGTTTTTGAAAGCTGGGCTGGCTTCACTCTCGGTGTTCTTGCTGCTGGGAATTAGCTGCCTTGAAGGAGCCACTGCCGTATCTGCCCGCTGAGTCCTATAGGAGCTCAGTGCAGAACTCTGGTTCCTCAATGCCTCGCTGCTGGTTAGGGTTAGGGTTAGGGTTTGTTCTGTTTTGTTCTTGTTTCTTCCTTATTTCTTTCCCTCCTCTCATCATCAGTTTCCCAAAGCTTAAGTAATCTTCCTTTGTCTTTCAGCATTGCTTCTAATCTCTTTCTCTTTTATTTCTGTAGTTTTTCCTCTTATCCCTTTTAAATTTTCTCCCCTAAGGATAAAATTGCTCTATTGAGTGGATATTTGCTGTATATAATTTTCTGATTTGTTTTAGATTTTTTATATAACTATAAATATTGTACCTATGGTTTAAGGTGGCAAATTAACAGTTACAACAGTTTGTCATTTTCCAGTCTGTGCCTGATGCTATTGTTATTACCGATTGTACTACTTTAGCCAAGGTGACAGAATTGTTGTGATCAGTTGTTCTTCCTTGTATTCCAATAGTGAGATTGTCTAGAGGTCATAAACAATACCATGGCCCAGTACCAAAGAACTAGGTGCTAGGCCAAATAGGCAGCAACCTCTCATCCCTAATAAGTTAAAAATGCAGGATCTTGGGACACACTCAAAAACCAAAAGGCAGCTGCACCTTGAAGACATCTCTGAAAATAATCATATCCTAAAGAAGTCTACTAAAGCTACTACTACAATCAATTTACAAGCATCGATGCAGAAAGCAAATTAATAAATAGAAAATGAGAAAACACAGAAGCAAGCTGCAACCCCAGACCTCCAGCTCACCCAAGGCAAATCCAGGGGGCACTGAGGTGGAAGAAAGCAAAAGCCACCCAGCTGAATGTTCTGAAATGATAGCAGCAGAAGTAACAAACCAGATGAATAAGTCTCTTTAAAAATCAGAAATAATTACACAGATAACTAAAGAGATGATGACCACAGTGAAGGACATGGTTAGTGAATCTACAGTAGGTACAGATTTTTTAAATAGAGCAGCTTAGAAAACTACAGAAACCATGACTGACCAACATAGGAAAGAACTGGATTCCACAAGACATATTCAAAAACATAGCCAGGATATTAAAAAATTCAATTGAAACTATATGCAGCAGAATCAACCAATATGAAAATAGAATATTAGATCTAGAAGACAGGTTTGTGGCTAGCAATCATCAGATGAAAGACTTCTTAAAAATAGCAAGGGACCATGAAAAATCAGTCCAACGGCTGTTAGATGATACACAGAAGAACATAAGATTAATCAGAATAAATGCAAAATCAGAAGATAGCATGAAAGACATAAAAAACCTGTTCACAGAAGTAATATCAGAAAAGTTCTCAAGCATGGAAAAAGAATTTCACATACAGATAAGTGAGGCATACAGAACTCCAATTAGCCATTATCAGAAAAAATTACACCAAGGCATAGATTCCAGAAATGCATCATAAGAACAGAATATTAAAACTTGTTAGAGAAGGGGCCAGGGATTTAGCTCAATGGTGCTGCTGCCTCCCTCACAAGTGCAAGGTCCTGAATTCAATCCCCAGTACCAAAAATTAAAAAAATAAAATAAAATAAAATTAGGTTTTTCATATTATTAGAAACCTACTGAGAGTTCTTTTCTAGATCTCTATCAGACATGTGACTTGCAACTATTTTCTACTGGTCTATGGTTTATCTTTTCATTTTATTAACTATTTCTTAAAGAAAAATTCCCTGAATTTGATCCCCTATACCCCCAAAAAAATTATTAGAGAAAAGAAATAAATCACTTAAAAAGAAAAACCCATCAGGGACCTAACTCAAAACTAAGTCAAAGAAACCTTGGAGGGAAGTATTTCAAGCCCTAAAAGAAAACAATTTCCAACCCACATTGAGGTAATCTGCAAAACTATCTCTCAAAATTGATGGAGAAATAAGATACTTTCATGATAAAGAACAGTTGAAGGAATTCCAAACTAGCACTCCAAAAAATTCTGAAGGATATTCTAGGAAAAGACAGTGAAGACAAAAATTCCATGAAAAAATGCTCAACATCACTGTTCATTTGAGAAATGCAAATTAAAATAACACTGAGATTCCATCTCACTTCAGAAAGAATGGCTATCATCAAAAAATCAACCAATAGCGGCCGGGGATTTAGCTCAGTAGCACCATGCCTGCCTCGCAAGCACAAGGTCCTGAGTTTGATCCTAGTACTGGGGGGGGGGGGAATCAACCAATAAAAAATGCTGGCAAGGCTGTGGGGAAAAAAGAGACCCTTCTCCATTGCTTCTAAGAGTGTAAACTGGTACAACCACTATGGAAATCAGTATGGATATTCCTCAAAAAACTAAAACTAGAGGTTCCATTTGATCCAGCCATTCCCCTTCTAGTTATCTTCCTGAAAGAGTTAAAAGCATCATACCACAGTCATATATGTATATCTATGTTTACAGAAGCACAACTTATAATAGCTAAATTATGGAACAGCCCATATGCCCATTGAAAGATGGGTGGATAAAGAAAATGTGGTATTTATATACAATGGAGTACTACTCTGCCGTAAAGAAAGATAGGCTTGAGTCCTTTGCAGGAAAATGGATGTACCTCAAGACCATAATCTTAAGTAAAATAAATCAGACACACAATTTTAAATATTGCATTGTTTCTTTTGTGTGAGAAACACAAAAGGTAAGTAAAGAGCATAGTAAAAAGGATAGATATTGGGAGGAAGGAAGAACATGTTCAAATGGGAAGTGGAAAGGGGGAGCAGGGAGTGGGTAGGGAAGGAATGGAAAAGTAAAAAGAAGAAAATGGAAGGAAAAATAGAAGCAAAGATTTTGTAAGTAGGAGGGGAAGACAGGTTGGAGGGAGGGAAGGGGAATGGGAAAAAAAGAATTAAGATATATTATGTACAGGTACAAATTCCCTACAATGAATGTGATTAATATGTATGACAAATATGTACCAAAAAAATAGTTAAAAAGAAAGACGTGTTATGTATATGTACCAACTTCCTACAAAGAATGTAGTAATTATGTACTGCAAACATCTACTCATAAAAAACTGAAAAAAATTTCTGCAGTGAACACCAAGCTATCAGCTTTCAGCTGGATCCTCTGGCTGTCCAGATAATGGGCAGCTGCTTAGCATTCTTCCACCTGAGTCCACACGGGGCCATTGTAAGGCTACCTAGTATATCCTTGATATAATAAATAAATAAATGTATTTATTTTATATCAAATCTGTTTCTCTAGTGAACCCTAATTGATGCAGTATCCATCCCCCTATAACCCACTTTTATACCCCTTACACCTTCCTCTTAATCCCTTCATCTTTTCTAATAATAATGTCTTCTAGTAGACTCAGAACAACAAGTATCACATTTCCCCCTAACATGTGGACTCTAAAAAAGAGAAAATAAATTGTGATACTGTTTCTAAATGAGGTCAACTCATCAAACTTGGCTACTCTTGGAGCCACCTAGGGTCCTGAGTTCTAACTGGTCTGGGATGAAACCTGATGGTCAGGTATAAGAGGCAGTAGGACACAGAGACTGGGGTTTGGAATTGGATTTAGACTTCAACTGCAGTCCCTAACATCCAGGTTTTATGATTTCTGGAAAATCACTATACTTCTCTGAGCCTCAGTTTCTTCATTGGCAAACACGGTGTCATTAGAGTTGTTTAAACAATGCAAAGTGTGGCAAACACCTAGGCCAGCACTTGTTATAAAAGAGGTGCTTAGAAAAAAAATACCATTTGGCTAATAAAAGGACATATAAATAAATGCTGCTCCTTGTTTTTTCCTTACCTGAGCAGGTAATCTCAAGCAAGATGTTATCTACTAGGGGCCGGGGATTTAGCTCAGTGGCTTGGAGCCTGCCTGCTAGGCACCAAGTTCTGAGTTTGATCCTCAGTACCATCCCCCCCCAAAGATGTTCTCTACTCATCCCAACTTTCTTTGGCCTGTGCCAGCTGCCCACAGCAAGGGTCCCAGCAGGGTCTGTCTCCACCAACACTTCCATAATGTGCCATGAGTTCAAATGATGTACGTATCATGGGTGTCGAGGTAATGCAAACAATTTTGAGGTCACAGAGACCTGGTTAAGGGCCTGCAAACCTCCACCAAGTCCGCTTGCAGGATAGGAAGATTTTGTTTTCATTGTGGAACTCTACATGAATTTCTGGGTCGTCCTTGCACAGGCCCAATCCTACCCTTTTCTGCATCGTTCCAGTTAGCATAAGTGCTGCTGAAGCCAATACAGGAGAAAAAGATTAGCGGTGGGGATGAAACGAAGCCGAGTGAAGAGAGCGCAGGTGCGGGAGGGGGCGGCGTAAACGGTGTTAGTGCTGGGTTGGGGTGACGGCCTCAGCGGGATGAGGACGTGTGACCAAGGGAGGCTGGTGATGTGGCAGGTGCAGGAGGTGCGGATAGCCAGGCTGTGGCCGCTGGTGGTGTGCAGGCAAAGAAGAAGGGAATATGGGCCATTCCAGTGAGGCCTTTTAGAGTATGTGGAGGGGGCGCTAAAGGTGAAGGTGGCAATGTGCCCTTCCCGGAGGACGGTCACGCTGATCACAGGGAGGTGACAGAGAAGAGGAGGTCCACAGGCGGCAGGGGCTGAAGAGGCTGGGTGAACAGTCCAGGCTCCTGGCTCCGGTTCCACTAGTCATGGAGCCAAGAAGGAAGCTGATTGTTCTCCCTTTTAGAGACCAAGTTAAGAAGGAGCATCTGAAGACAGTGACTGCACAGCCCTGGACTTGGATAGAAATCTGGTTTTGTCAACATTCCTGTACCGAGGCCCTATCTGAAAAATCATGATCTGGGCGTGGTGGTGCAGCCTGTAATCCCAGTACTCGGGAGGCTGACACAACAGGATTGCCATGAGTTCAAGGCCAACCTGTGCTACTTAGTGAGCTCAAAGCCAGCCTGAACTACAGAGTGAGACTCTGTCTCAAAAAAAAATTGTTGAAAAACCAGGTACCCAAATACCTGTACAATGGTTAAATTTTCCAAGGTACAGTGTGGGATGCCTGCGGCAGAAAGTGAAAGTTGTATTTCTCCACACTGCCACAAGGGGTCAGCAGAACCTTTCCTAATAGTGACTTTTCGCGATGAAAAAGTGGTACGGTACCTGTCCTAAAGAGAATTACCACCACCACAAGTTTGAGGGGCCAGTGGGAAAGTGAAGCACAGGGTGGGAAAGGAGAGTTTCCCCGTGGCCTGAACCCTATGGATGCTCTCAATAAAGCAAGGCAAGTTTAAGATCCCACTGCAGAAGCTACATCTCACTTAGAAGAGAGGCTGTGGCCCTCCTGAGGAACCAGGGGACAGATTTCCATGTGGTGACAGTACAAGAAAAGCTCATATTTTTAGTGCAATAGACAACACACTGGGGAAGCAGTCAGGAGCCAAGGAAACTAAAACTATATGTGATCTTAAATAAGTTGCTTTGCTCTGTGGTGTTCAAAGCACTTCAGCATCACAATCAATGTCACATACAAGACTATGAATTTCTTAGGGCAGATAATATTACTCCATTTTACAGAGAAGGAAACTGGGTTAGAGAAATGTGTCCTCCCAGTATCCTCATGGGCTAACACTCCAGGCACAGTGGCAGTGGGCTGATAACTCAGTGTAGATTGGCTTCCCTTTCTTTCTACCTGACTTCCACCTAAGCTCCAGGCCCTCTTCTTCTGGCAACCCCCAAATGAAGATGGATCTGAGATTTGGACCTTTGCAACCTGGCTGAAGATTATGACTTCTAAATCTGTATTGTCTTTCATCTGCTCAAAGATAAAGGCTTGGAGCTTGTCATAAAGGCCTGGGTTCTGCAACTTACCAGCTGCTGTGGGTTGACACCTCGTAAAGGGTCCAGAAAGTCCTAGCTTCAGGTACCTCTGAATGTGACCTTATTTAAAGAAGACATTAATAACTACTTCAAGAACTTGTATTCCAGTAAATTGAAGAATCCTGAAGAAAGTGAACCAAGAAGATATAAAAACCCTGAACAATCCAATAATAGGCAATGAAATTGAGGCAGTAATAAAAAAAATCTACCAACTAAGAAAAGCCAAGGACCCAATGGATTCACCCCTGAATTCTGCAAGAACTTCAGGGAACATCTCATACTAAATTTACTAAATTTACTAAAACTGTTTAACGAAATAGAAAGGAAAGGAGTTCTGACAGACTCATTCCTGGGAGCTGGCATTACCTTGATTCCAAAACCAGACGTGGACTCCACTGAAAAAGAAAACTACAGGCTAATCTCTTTAATGAACATAGATGCAAAAATTCTTAACAACATAATGGCAAACAGAATGGAACAAACATTAAAAAGATCATATACCATGACCAAGTAGGCTTCATCTCAGGCAGGCAAAGATGATTCAACATACACAAATCAATAAGTTCAAGACATCACATACACAGAACCAACGACGAAAATCACATCTTCAGCTCAATTAATGGAGAAAAGGCCTGTGACAAAATTCAACATCTCTTTATGATTAAAAAACAATAACTCTGAAGAAAATAGGCATAGAAAGACTTTATCTCAACCTGATAAAAGCAATTTATAAGAAACCTTCTGCCAACATCATATTAAGTGGAGAAAAAATGGAAGCATTTAGGGCTGGGGATTTAGCTCAGTGGTTCCACTGCCTGCCCCACAAGTGCAAGGACCCGAGTTCAATCCCCGGTACCAAAAAAAAAAAAAAAAAAAATGAAGAAGCATTTCTTCTGAAATCAGAAGACAAGGATATCTACTCACTCTCCTGTTCGATACAGTACACAAACTTTAGCCAGGCCAATCAGGCAAGAGAAATAAATAAATAGAAGGATACATTTAGGAAAGAATGAAATCAAACTATCATTATTCACAGATGACATGATCCATGTTCTGATTTATATCTAGGTATCCCATTAGAGCCTCATGCACTCAAAGGTGGGGCTTTGGGGAGGAGATTTGATCATGAGGCATGTTAATCACCAGTGGATTCCTACACTTGTGAATTCACAGGTGACTTGCTGACTGGCTGGGGGTGGGATCTGGTCCAAAGAGTTGGGTCACTTGCGTGTGGCCTGAAAGGGTTTATCTCTTGCCCACTCCTCTCCCCTCTCCCTTCTCTCCTCTCTCTCTCTGCTTCCCTCTTGCAGCTTCTCATTTGCCAAGTCCCTATGCCATTCTGCGGCCAACTGACTATGGACTGAAACTTCTACAAACTGGGAGCCAAAATAAACATTTTATCCTTTAAGTTTTGAGTGTCAGATATCTTGTGCTAGCAAGAAGGCAGTAACTAAAACAATTCTTTACATAGAAAACTCAAAGAATTCCAGCAAAAGACTCCTAGAATTAATAACAAATTCAGCAAGATAGCAGAATATGAAATCAACACATGAAAATCACTAGTGTTCCTGTACACTGATAATGAACTCACCAAGATAGAAACTAGGAAAACAATACCATTCATAGCATCAAGAAAAATTTTTTCTTGATACATAGCATCAAGAAAAAATCAAATAGTTAGGAATTAGGTTATTTAATTCAAAAATTGAATAGTTAGGTTGTTCAGTTCAAGAGCAAGTGAAAGACCTCTATAATAAAAACTACACTGCTGTGGAAAAGGAGGTCAAAGAGAACATCAGAAAATACAAAGATACCCCTTCTTCCCAGATGGGTAGAACTAATATTGTCAAAATGCCCATACTTCCAAAATTGAAATATAGATTTAATCAAAATACCAATACCATTTCTTACAGAACTAGAGAAAGCAATCCTAAAGGTCATATGGCACCAGAAAGGACCCAGATTAGCAAAATTAATCCTGGGCATCAAGAGCAAAGCAGGAGACATCACAATCCCAGATTTCAAGTTCAAAGCTTCAGTGATTAAAAAAAACCCCAAAACAGCAAGGGACTGCCACAAAAACAGATGTGTGTGTCCATGGAAGAGACTGGAGGAAAAACCCCAAGCATATTCTAACATCTGATCTTTGACAAAAGGGGTAAAAATATATGCCATAGGGAAGATGACCTCTGTGACAAATGGTGCTGGGAAAGCTGGCTATGCACATCTAGACACTTACCTCTCACCACATACTAAAATAAAATCAAAGTGAAGGAAAACAAACAAACAGCTCATGATCTCAATCTGAGATAGAGCAGGAAGATCTAATCTTACCACTCATTGATCAGGGACCTGAGTCGTGAGTCACGGAATCACAAGGTATTGGTTGGCTGGCCGGAGGGCTCCTCGGTCCTTAGGCTCTTGATGAAATGATTCAGACAGGGCACAGAAAGACACGTTTGGCTTAGAGGTGACTTCAGAATGTCCACTTTTACTGCTGCAAAACATATTATTCGTTCTCTCCAGATGGTCAATGTGTTCTTTGAAGTTCACTATTGGCCTGGGCATTTAATCATACAGTATATATATATTTTTTTAATATTTGGAAATTTTACCTGTTTTCTTTTCTTTATGAAAAATAAAACAAAATTTCATAACATGATAGAGAAAAACAATAGTTAATACACTGTGTATCATAACCTTAAAGAGATGTTTGCAGTATGTAATGATTACATTTATTGTAGAATAGGGCCGGGGATTTAGCTCAGTGGTTTCGCTGCCTGCTGCGCAAGCACAAGGACTTCAGTTCCATCCCCGGTACCAAAAACAAACAAACATTTATTGTGGAGGGCCAGGGATTTAGCTGCCTGCTGTGTAAGCACAAGGACCCAAGTTCCATCCCCAGTACTAGAAAAAAAAAACCCAAAAAACCCATTTATTGTGGGAAGTTGGTACAGGTACACAATATATCTTTAATTCCTCATTTTTTATCCCCTACCCCTCCACTCCCTCCCTGCTCCCTCCAACTCAGGCTCCTTCCCATTTGCAAAAGCTGCATTTTCATCATCATTCCCCCCTTCAATTCTTCTTTTTCTCCATCCCCTTTCCCTCTCTTCTTTCCCCTCTCTTTCCATCTCTGGTTCCCCCATCCATTTGAAAGAGATCGCCCTACTTTTTATTTATCTGTCTTCTATTTTGTTTTTCTTTTATATATATTTTTCAAAGAATGAGCAGCCAAAATAAATAGAAACTTTTCAGAAGAAGTACAAATGGCCAATAAATACATAAAAATATGTTCAACATCTCTGGCTATTAGAGAAATCCAAGTTAAAATTACACTGAGATATCATCTTACTAAAGAAAGGATGGCCATCAGCA